GGAGTCTGCTTCTCTCCTGCACGCGAATCCCTTTAATTGGATATTGCCGACCAAGTTCGCCCATGTCTACGGTCGAACATGTATTTTTTCTCGTAGCGCTTTTTTTCTCGAAATAGATCTCCAATACGACGGCATGTGTTACCTGCGCATTATTTGGAGTGCAGAGCGAGGGTCGAACTAGCGAACATTTCATGCTGATGGTGAAGTCGGAAGGCTGCCTTGGTGCACGAATTGGGCGTTTTACGAATATTATTCTACTGCACATCCCAATATCAATTTCAGTTAACATAAAAACGACTTTATAGTTTTGGGCAATGAAATCAAAATGTGCCCATTATTTGTTGTATGAATTTTTTAACAGCATGAATTTCTATCATATTACTGTGAACAAAATATTTAAATGTGAAATATATTCTTTCATGCAATCTTATTTACTGCTAGGCAAAAAAACATAGGAAGTGATATGATTGTTAAATAAAGCCTTATTATATACAAAAATATATTCGTTTGATATGTTAGTAATCATATTTCTAATTCTGCTGGATCAAGAAAAAATTAAAACATTGTATATGACGGATTGTCACTAAAACATTGTGTGGATTAGAGATATAGAAATTTCTCGTAATTTGTTACGTAGAAGTTAAAATATAAAATACAATTATATGTTTGGAAAATCGTTTTAACAGTTTCTTTTCATCATCGCAAAGAATGAACTGTAAACATCGCAAAATAATGCGCAATAGATATGTTTTCAGAATTCTTTTACCATTTCTAAGTCTTTTATTCAGAATATTATAAATATTTACGACATCAATTTCATTTTCTAAAGTAGCCATTTAACTACCAAAAAATAATATTGGCGTACTACATTATTTTAAAAAACAATGTTGTGTAACATGGATGTAAGATCGTTGATGTTCAAGAAAATCTCACAGAATATTTACTTTCAGTGTGAATTTCTTTCATATTTTAAATGTTTTCATTGTGTAATGAAACAATCATAAAACCAGTATATTCAAACAATATAAACGCAGCCTCATAGGTGTTGGGCCATTTATTTCTCACTATACCTTAATGAATAAATTTGACACCGGTTTTTCAGACATTTGAAAATAAATCCAGAGTAAAGCAAAACAATTCGTGTTCGGAGGCTCGGACTAGGAATCACTCCAATAATCAATGCGTCGAAATAAAATTCCAGAAGTACATACCTGTATTATCTGAGTGTAATACTTCGAAGTGGGCTCAGCTCGACTGATCACGTTATATATACTTCGCAGAAGGCTTGGAAAGCTCTTCATTTTAGTAAGCGTGTTTTACGGAACTCGAAAATAAAGCCTTGCACGTCCTTGTTTCGCCTCAAAATGTAATACTGAGCAGCGTGCGGAGATCCTCTTAGAGGAAGTCAGATTAAAGCAATGAACCGCGTACAGAGTAAGCGGTTAATTTCGCGATTTGAAGCAATGGATGGAGCGAATGTCATTATGGTAATCATTAGTTATACGCGGTACGACTAAACCCTCTTCAAGGCCTACAAAAAGCAACCGGCATGGAAAGCCATGAGTAAAAGATATGAAATGCAGTATGCATTGATTAGGGTTGATTAGGGTTGACCACACACAAAAAATGTAGAAAGCAAAGGGGTATATTCAGATTTGAACGAAGGACCATTGATCATTGGAACAATTTATGCATAGAGGTGACAGTGATTCTTCCCAGGAGCACGCAAGTTATGATACGGAAGGGAAATATAGTGGACAAGATATTTAATCTATTTTTTATATTTGTTTATTGGTGTTGTGTTCTTAATTTAATGTTTTTATTTGTATGTATTGATTCTTTTAATTTTTACATTTGTACTTATCGTTTTTTGATTACTTGTCACGGAACGCATGGTCATTTGTAGGCCGCCGTGTGCAGTAGTGCGGGGCTGTGCAGGGCAGGACATGACTGATTATTTTGTATTTTCGGGCAGGTCAAATGCTATGGTCATTACTTAGGCAAGTTCAGTTGCCGAATGCAATTGTATGCTCTATCTCTGGTGGTGGTGATGAAACTTTCCAGCTAGAACGTGAAGTACAAGTCGCGTTTTCCGCTCCAGGTGTGTCTGAAGGGAGAGGTGGGTAAAATAATAGGGAAGTGAAAATTGTGTGTTGTCCATGGCTCATTTATTAAGTTACTGTTCCAGCATTTGTCTGGAACTGGAGAAACCAGGAAAAAACCGATCAGAGTACGCAACCGCTACAATCTCCTCTAGACAGCGGGTGAATTGGACCCAGCTATGTAGTTAGTGTTACCAGAGAGATTCGAGCGTTAGGACCAGCCAGTTAGAGAACGGGGCATGTCGAGTCGGGGCAGTGCAGAGTGAGGCAGAGCGAGAAGCGAGCGTTGGAGGCGGAGTGGGACGAGGAGCGGCTGCCTGTAGCGAAGAGGTTGGGGGCGGGGAGCGAGAGCGGGCACGCAGCGACGAGAGCTGCGAGAGCAGGGCGGGTCGGCGGGGAAGGGGCGAGGAGAGGAGGGGTGGGGCGTGTAGCAACACGCGTTCCGATCCGTCTCTTAAACGGGGAACATTGTTCCAGAGAGTGGAGATTGGGTAGAGCAGCTCGTTGCCAGAGCACGATATAGCGAATCTAACAGACTGCTCCCGCTGAGTCTACGAGCATGTCGAAGGAAGGATTTATACGTTCTATTGGCTGGTATGAAAATGCTGAGGAACTATACCATACGGCCGATGAATATAAAATCTGAATAATTACTAGGGAAGGATATTACTGCTTTGTAATAGCGAAAATAAATTCATCAATTTAGCTAGATTATAATATTAATCATTGTATAGTTATGTACATTATTACATTTTCCCCAAAACGAGTTGAAATTGAAACTGATGTTTACCAACATTTATTTTAAAGATGAGTTTAAAGACGATTTAAAAGTAGAGTTTTGCAACAAACATTATAATAGCTCAAAACAAGAGTCTTAGTCTCTTAAAACTATATTTTTATCAAAAAAGACAGTTTTTGAAGGACTGATGAATTCCATGGGGAACCCGTTCTTTGAGAGAGATAGGTGGGGCCCAAATTGTTTCATCTGTAGTAGTCTGAATTATGAGATGTTTTTAAACTTTCTGATTCATTTTGGGTAAATTCGTTCTTTTGGGTGCAACCACTTTATAGCAAGGGTGGTCAAAAAATGCGCAGCTGGGAATCTATGACACATTAAATTTGGCGAAAAAGACAAAAATGATATTTGACGATCAAACGAAAGGAACTACTTTTTTCTGTGCAATTTACTTTTTAACGTTTACAACAATTAGAATAGTTACTCTCGTTATATTGCTGTAACTCACTGTTGAGGGGCTAGTCGTCGGAAGTTGGATTCTACTACGAAGCAATATTCACTTTTAGAACAATTATTTACAAAAAGCGAGGTTTTTCCTCAGGTAAAACTAGTCCTTAAATAATATAAATTTAGTATTTACGTATACATTTATGTAGATTTGATTTACCTTCTTGTCTGTTAGTTCTCGTTTGAGCATAGATCCTTTGGATGCACTAATATATCCGTTTCCAAATTGGAACCGAGGTAGCCTCTTACACGCCTTTATTCAAACCTACATAATATACTATAATTCGTTTGAAATCCACGAATGGTCTTCGTGCAATATTACAAATAAAAATAAATTTTTCTGACGCAATATTCTTATACATTTAAAACTTCAATTAGTATTCATGTTAATTTTGTATCAGTTCATGAAAATGTTAAAAACAATTGTTTCGTAATTCATTTTATTACCATTTTTGCTCCTTCTAAAAACGTTACTAAAAAGTAAGATCTATCTTTGAAACTAGTTGTCGCGAATGATGTTACGATCAGCGTGTCGTCTGCATTCACGTCGAGGAAAGTGACAAAGCCTAGGAGCGCGATGAGAATCTCGAGCGAAGAAATTCTCTCCCTCTCGACGAAGCTCCACTCCCTCCCCCTCCCCTCCCGTGCTGTCGCGTGGCGCCCCTGGAGCTGCCACTCGCCGGTGACGCCCCCGCGCCGCGTCGAGGCGCGTGCGAGCGTGACTGGCTGCGACAGCCCGAAGAGGCGTCGCTCCCTCTTGTAACATAATTAAGCGAGATCGGAGCAAGTCGGCTGCCGGCACCCGGCAGGCGCTGCGCGATCCACTGTGAAGTGCATTTGGTAATTGTTCGTAATTGATTGGATGTCATTGTTCGTTACCGCGCACTGTACGTTTTGTTGCGAGACAGTGTTTGTCGAGAGCTACATGGAAGAGGCGAGCATAAATACAACACCTTAAGAACGAGAGTTCTGGTGATTGGAATGTCGTGAGTTCGGTTTTGGCTTGTTGCAAACTAGGGCTCGAAGAACCACAATGTGTGATATAAAATTCATTCGCCATTCTTTGCTAGAGCTTCGTGTCGGACATCAATCAGTGTGGAACACATGGGGGAAACTTGAAATGTCTCGGTCTGCTTGTCAATGAATACTAAAACAGCTGATCTTACCAAAAGCCACGTGCCGTGCGCGATGATCGCTCGTCAGTCCTGTGTAGAACACGGTCTCATAACGAAGATACGCAGGGGGGACAAGTCAAAATCAGCAAGCAAAATAAATTTGTGAATAGAAATGTTTTAGAATATGGTTCCAATATTATTAGACACGTTACTGAAACGAGCTTTTTGTGTAGGGTGATGCCATAACTACAGTGAAGATGGACGAGAATCAGGGAGTAGGGAGAGATTGATATTCGTGGAAGCTATATTAAGATTGAGGGGGTCGAGAACGAGAGCGAAGGAGAGTGAGGTCGAGAACGAGAGCGAAGTAGAGTGAGAACGAGAACGAAGAAGGCGAGAACGAAAGTGAAGGAGGGCGAGAACGAGAGCGAAGTAGAGTGAGAACGAGAACGAAGAAAGGCGAGAACGAAAGTGAAGGAGGGCGAGGACGAGAGAGAAGGCAGGCGAGAACGAGAGCAAAGGAGGGCGAGTACGAGAACGATGGAGAGTGAGGACGAGAACGAAGAAAGGCGAGAACGAGTGCGATCGAGGTCGAGAACGAGAGCGGAGGAGGGCGAGAACGAGATCGTAGGAGGCGAGAACGAGAGCAGAGAAGGGCGAGAACGAGAGCGAAGCCGAGTGAGAACGAGAACGAAGAAAGGCGATATCGAGAGCGAAGGAAGGCGAGAACGAGAGCAGAGGGCGAGAAAGAAGGTGGAGGAGGGCAAGAACGAGAGCGGAGGAGGGCGAGAAGGCGTAGGGGGTTGGGGATTGGAGCCCGGGCGCGGGGGCGGGCGCGACCGGGCCTGGCGTGGCCTCCCGGGGCCGGGGCCGGGCCATGAGGGAACGCGGGCGGTGGCCGGTGGGATCACAGGTTGTAGCGGACTTTGGCGCCGGTCGATACGCCGCGCCGCGCCGCGCCGCGCCACCCGCGGACGCCAGCTGGGGGTTGGGCTGTGGGCTCGGCGCAGCCTTTACTCACCGCTCGCCTTCGGATGCGGCGAGAGGTTTCGACGATGGGCAGCGGACTGCGCTCGGCTCTGCTACTTCCTCGGTCAGAAAAGATTGCTGCAAAATTATGATGAGGAAATTGCACGTGATAAAAGAAGGATAGCCAACGTGCCGTGAAAAGAAAAGTGGTACATGTAGTGAAATAATTAGAAGACCCAAAGTGTCGACCCTGAGAAAAAAAAACGAACACTTTTGGACAAATTAATTAAGGTTTTTGTGTAGGGGTGAGGAAATGTGAGATAAGTCGTCGAAATACTGTAAGTTACAATTCCTCCCACTGATATTGCGGTTCTTGCCAAACCCACCACACCTTTATCTCATCCCGATAGAGCGTCAGTTTCTTGGTTTAGGTGATTCACTTTGCCTTAGGAAAAGAACGTTAGTCTGCAAGTTGTTATTCGGAAATTGAATTATTGTGCATGAGTGTGTGTAATTTAACAAATTTAAACATTACCACATATCGTTGAAATAAAAAAACTGAAAATTTTATCAGAAATTGGTCTACTAAGTTTTCATCGAATATGAATACAGAAACGTTTGCTTATTTTCTTGTCACTGGAGAAATTACAATTTTGTATTTTAATATTGTCTTAATGATATTTATTTATGTCTAAATTTAAATAACGTAAATATTTTAAAATGACATAGTGTCGGATCCCGTTAATTTGTAGTCTTCAGAAAGGGATTCTCCTCTTCGTAATTGGTCACTGTTTTAAAAATCACTCAGGACAGTAGGACAGTTTGAGAAAATCTCAATATATTTTGTTGACAGATAAAATAGGCATACATAAGAATTATTTCATTGGTATTGAAAGAGAGAGAAAGAATGATATTATCACCCTATTTTAACTTCTAAAATCGAGAATTATATCTGTTAAAAAATCAGTTGTGAAGAAACTCCAATGCTGATACTAAGTCTCCTTTATTATTTTAAATTCCAATAACTTCTCTATATAGTTAAGTGATTGAAGAGTACGAAAGAGATCGTTTAACAAATTTGTTCCCAAGATATTTTATTTTTGTCCTCTTTAACCTTCGTTCAATTTTGCAACAGAATCATCTACCCCGCCCCCCTCATGTACGAAAACACCATGAGTTCCTCGGTTGCCAGAATTTTGCAAGAAAATACAGAATATTGCTGTTCTTCCAGATATCATGTAGTGTTAGTACATGGACGGCAAAATTAATTCAAATTTGGCGCCACGCTTCGAACACAGTTTCGCTACTCTTTGTGGACATTTAAGAAGGAAAGATCATACATTACAAACGTCCCGCCTTCGAGATCTCGAAACTCCGGTTCCTGACACTCTTTTGTTGTTTCATGAATGGCCTTCCCTCCCCTAAGCCCCGACATCAATGTGGTCACTCGCACCTGCTGTAGGACACTGATTTTTTTGTACCGAATGAAACCTTTCCCCTTCGAGGCTGCCCTACACTCATCTGTCAACAGGTATTTGTCCTTCCTATGATGTTCTAGGCCCCGTCTCAGCACGAAGTACCAGATGTGGCTAAGAATATTCCGTGGGACGTGGGAGGAAATTAGTGCCTTAGTGACTGGCTCTGTCTAAGCACACGAACTTCCACGACTGTGGCAATTGGCGCCTTTGGTGGTATACCGGTTAGAATATCGGGCTGTTGTACCCCAGTTAGGGAATTCAAACTCGATCAAAGCCTTGTATTTTTAAGGGCGAAACATTTTTTCGTACTCCTTCCTTCGGAGGGTAAGTGAAGCCGCCTGTCCGTTATTGTAAATTGACTGCATGTAAACAATTCCGTAAGCTTAAAGAAACCTCTAAATTTAAATCGCCAGCTTCGTCCCCCGAATTATACCTTCATTCCCTGGTAGATTGGGAAAGGGGCGTAGCAAAATTTGCGTAGTAGAGCGGAAGAACAGCCCTGACGTAAAATAATGCGTCATGGGTTGAATTGAATGGAATAATTACCGAGGGATTCACACATCCTTGGTGTAATGCGTTCCCGCAACTCCTGCCCCACCAGCCGACCGCAAGGGGAACATAATTGGAAGGTGACACGTGGCCGTTGCGGAACTCCAGCATACCACCACACACAGCAAACATCCATGCCGAGACGCGATATGAAAACGCGACACTACAACCCGACAATGCCAAAGCTCACCTACCAACAAGACGTCGACGGTCCGGGCGGGCCTTGGGAGTCCATTATGTGAAGCAGTGAAGCTTGCTTCCGGAATGAAAATTGCTGCACTTACACATTTCTTTTCAAATTAAATTCGATTAAGCTGGCGATGCCTTTTGGTCCCCCCACTGACTGATGAGATACATCGTCTAACAACGTCGGCCTGTCGGCCATTTATCCAACCGAGAGTGGCCACTGTGACATCGCTTCTGTTGGACAAGCTCTGAGCTCCCGACTAGTCCCTCGACATGAGTGGTAGTACGGGTTATGTAAGTGCTGTGTGAGTAACGGGAGGATAGAACAAGGAACAGGAAGGATAGATTGTGTGTGGTCCGTGGCTCGTTTGTTAAGGTTCTGCTCCAGCATTTGCCTGGTATTGGTCGGATAAACCATGGAAAACTATAGATTAGCGCATCCGGCTGACTCACTAGCTGAATTCGACCTACTTTTGTGGCTGGTATCGAAAAACTCCTGCCATCGTCGAGACTCAAACCCTCGGACCACCCGATCAAAGACATTGCAATGACATCAATTGTTGTCCTGATCTAGTGATTGTACTACCATAGAGTGGCAAAGCTCACCCCAAGGCGGGGCATCGGAGGCCCATTATGTGAAGCAATATATGACGAGCGTTCGGGCGGGCTTTGATCGCTCATTAAATAAAGCAACGAAGCTTGTTACGAAATGAAAACTGCAGCACTTACATATACCTTTTCACTTTCGATTCGAGAGTCTCGATACGTCGCGAACACTTCCGCGCGAGCACTTGACGTCTTCCGCGTTTCCCCGCTCCATTCGTCTCTGGTCGCGCGAGCAGTTGCCCTCCGCCGCCGCGTGTAAGGCTCGCGTCCTTTGCGAGGCGGTACTGTGCTATCAAGAAAAGTTAAACACTGTACAGTGAAAACGCGACGTTTCCTGTCCCCCGTGCTTTTACATTTTACTATTGGTTTTGGTCACGCAACACGCAACCGTGGGGAAACGAGCTTACTGAATCGGGCGGCAGGAGTTCCTTTTTGGAGAGGTGTGGCGACTTTCCAGAATACTCACGGGCGTTGGCTTAGGAGTTCGTCTCATTTCTAAGATGGCATTCGATTTTCACCTTTCTTTTTTTAGTATTTTTTATTATGTTAGTATGAATTTTTGTTAATTAATTTGATTAATTTTTTCTCGAGTTTTTTGTCTGTTAGAGACTGAGTAGTAATTGAGCATGACTCCCATGTATAGACAGACCTCTCCTACTTTTCACTTAGTAAAATGATGTGATGATTTATCTGTATCTTAAAGGTTTTATAAAATATAATAATACATCTTTAAATATAGTATAACAGAAACTATAAGTATTACCAAAGTAAAACTGAAGTAAATATAATTGCTCAAAGATGCAAAAACGAACTTTGTTATTCCTCAAATATAAATGCCCATAGTTTCGAAATATATATCTCATTTGGCAGTTACATATATTTTATATTTCAAATATTTTATTGTGTTCATGTTTCCTATAACTCGTGCTGTTTAAATAAAAAGATATTTAATTTTTGGAATAAAAAATAAATTTATTAGCATTTTCTACTTGTATCGTAATATCTTTACGCAAAGTTAACATTTAAAATTTCAACAATGTAGTTTCTTAAAATGATACATTAATATGCTGTAATTATGATTTATTAAAAGTATTGTTCTTCATCTTTGCAATATATAATTCAATGTGATAAAGCTCAAACGTCAAATGCCTCGCATGTTTGTTACCTCTCTAACAACAATGTTTGATGCAGTAAAGTCTCTTAATTCTATTGCACAATTCCAATTAGGGTCAATTTAGTCTAACAGACCATTCACTGGGTGTGAATTTGAAGCCAGTTTAGTGTGTGCTTACAAATACAGAGAATTACCACAGTATTTACTATTATTTCTTTACAATGCCTCATTATACAATAATTGTCATTAATAATGTATGAAATGATTTTAATCATTTTATGTCCATAAACCAGTTTTAAACGGGATTATATTAGACTAGTCCAATCACTTGGAGCTGAGAACAGGAAAACAGTTGAATACAGAGTCAGTTTGAACTGATTACTTGGGAAGATGATTGTAAATCTTGTGCGTTGAATCTAAAAAACTCGGGGAAGATTCTCCCAAAACGAAACGTGTTGATCGAGGATATTTATTTCTCAAAAGCTTACGCTTTTCTAAATGTCAACAAAATAACCAGTAAAAATGTACTGGGAAGGAACGTTAAAAATAATAGTGTACTCTGCTCACCATCAGACTTTTAAAGAGTTAGTTTAGGTTACTATAGATTCACGTGATTTATAGAAGACACTTTTCATAAAACAAGAAAATTCCTTTACGCAATAATACGTTCTATAAAATAAGTGTTATTCACCATTTCTACCAAATAAATTAGGTAGTTTCGTTTTCAATCAACAATTATAACACGAAGTATCAGTAAATAATGTACTTTACAATAATTGGAAATAAATGTCATTGTTGTGAAAAGTTGCATTTATTAAATGTATGTAGGATATTGACCAAGTGGCAAACATTTTGATCTGGATATTAAAAAGGTTTGTTTACTGAGCTTTCAAAATAATTAAAATAATTCTTAAATTACTAGTCATCATTAAGAATATCAATATTTAGAATTTATTATTTTTATACCTACTTTTCATTCAATTGCCCTTACTGGAGCCAGAGCTAATAACTCAACAACTGCGATTAAATGTCATAAGCGAGTGCAATTAAATTTTTTTAAATAAATTCATAGAATTTCCTTCTCAAGTTAAATCAAACGGATCAATGCTGGTTTTAGGAGATTCAGTCATATGTAGTATTTGTGAAAGATTGAATATGTATTATTTATGTTAATAATCCTGGAGTATTGAGCATTTTTTAAGCGCGAATTTTGTATAGAGTATTGATTGCGGA